AGGGGCCACGTGCCAGTTTCAGATGTCTGCACTATACAGCCAAACTGGTTTTCAGCTCAGTGACTCCGAAGTTACTTAGGTAAGTAACTTACTCCTAACTCCTTTTGCTTTTAAAAGCAAAATTAGGCTGCTTGGAAGACTTGTTTTGCATCCCACAGGATGGTACTGAGATTGAAAAATCAAATGGTACTCACACACCAGGCCAAGAGTCTTAGTGCAGCAGCTATTCGCTTGACTTCCTAGATCTGCTGCTCCCTCTTTAAACAGCATATTTTCAGTATTAGCAGAATATACTTTTTTTTAAATATTAACACATTTTTGCTACATACTATTGGAAGTTTCTCAAAAAGATTTTAGAAGGATTTCAAAGATAGCAAGTCACACGTGTCAAGTTTAGAATCATCATTTCCTCTAGCTCGATATGGAGAGTCATTAATCCAGAACTTAGTGCTTTTTTCTAGAATGAATGAAACTAAGTTCCATCCAACAAAAGGTTCGAAACAAAGTTTTATTAAGACAACATTTGCTGTTATTTCATCGCAAGCACTAACTTCCTCTGTAGAAAAACTTCACGAAAAGCACCCACTGAAAGAAAATAAACTAACTAACCAAAAGCAGGCATTGAAAGTAGCACTTTGGCCGAAGCAGAGATGTCTCCATCACACCCAGCACGGGGAAAGGACCCGCCTTGCCGTTCCGCAGGCACCTCCGGCACTGCCCCCCACACGGTGAGTGAGGCGCGGGGCCGGAGCGCTCCGCAGCCCCCGGGGCGCCGCTCCAGCGGCCCGCTGCCCTCTCCCGCCGTGCTCCGCCCCGCCGCGCACCTCGGGCTCCATTTCCAGGCCACGCCGCACCAAGTTTTCCAGGAGAGTTCTTCTGCCGGCCGCCTCGCCGGACTGAGGAGAAAAAGCGATCGGCGAGGCGAGGCGGGAAGCCAGTGGAGAGCGGCAAGGCAGCCCGAGGGACGGCCGCGGCACCGCCGTGCGGGGCGGCAACTGCTCCGCGGGAGCGGGACACCGTGAGAGGAACCGCACCCGCCCGCAACGCCCCCGAAGAGCGCCCGCCGGCCCCGGGGCGGCACGACGCGAGCCGGACACTTACCCTTGGTGAGCATGTCCAGCACTCCCGACTTCTCCAAGTACTGGCGGAACTGCTCCCGCTTGGAGTCCGCGGCCTGAGGGAGGACGCCCACACGGTCAGTTCGGCGGCGCGCCCCGCCTCGACTGCGGAGGCGGCCCTTTGGCACAGGCCGGTCCCGCTCTCCGCCGCGGAGGCGGCACGAAGGGCCGAGCCGGTGTCGGTCGGCGGCCCGCCGCTCCGCGCAGCCGGCACGGAGAGCGGCACCGCGCCCACGCCGGCGCGCTCCCCCCTACCTTGTTGTGCGCCATCTGACCCGCACGGCGCCTGCCCCGGCCGCGCGCCTGCGCCCTGCGCTTTAACGGCGCGAGCGCTTCCCTGCGGTTACCACGGCGACGGCGCCGCGGCAACGGCCGGGGCCGCGCCCCGCGCTCCGAGCTCCGCGCGCCGCCCTCGCTCTCCTCGGAGCCGCCTCGCTCTCCTCGGGGCGGCCTCGCTCCCTTTCGGGGTGTCCTCGCTCCCCTCGGGGCGGCCTCGCTCCCCTCAGGGCGCTCTCGCTCCCCTGGGGGCGGCCTCGCTCCCTTTCGGGGTGTCCTCGCTCCCCTCGGGGTGTCCTCGCTCCCTTTCGGGGTGGCCTCGCTCCCCTCAGGGCGCTCTCGCTCCCCTCGGGGCGGCCTCGCTCCCTTTCGGGGTGGCCTCGCTCCCCTCAGGGCGCTCTCGCTCCCCTCGGGGCGGCCTCGCTCCCTTTCGGGGTGGCCTCGCTCCCCTCAGGGCGCTCTCGCTCCCCTCGGGGTGGCCTCGCTCCCCTCGGGGCGGCCACGTTCTCCTCAGGGCGCTCTCGCTCCCTTCGGGGTGACCTCGCTCCGCTCGGGGCAGCCTCGCCGGCTCGCTCGCCGCCCAGGGGGAAGCTGTGCCGGCGCTGTGCCCCCTTTCTTGCGCGGCTCTGGCCCCCGGCCCGCTCTGCCCTGCTCTCCTCGCCGGGGACGGTTCCTTGCTCAGCTCAGCCTTCAGGGGCTGTGCCGCCCGCTGGCCGGGACGCCGCCACACGCGGCCCCGGAGCTCCCCGCGGAGAGGGCGAGCGGTGGCAGCGGCAATGGTCCGGCCGTGACCGGGCCCGAGCGTCTTCGAGCTGTCCTGAGGGTCGCTGGAGTTTTTCTGTTTTCCATAGTAAACACTCTGGTTTGTGTTTTTTGAAATTCAAAGAGTCTGATTAATAAATTTCAGTAGCTGCAGCTGACTGAAATCACAGAAGTTGCAGCGAGCAGCTGCAGAGGTGCCTACCCAAGAGACTCTGAAATTTTCACGTCGAAAGTGTTTTGCCTTAGCCTGTTAAAAAAAAAAGAAAAAAAAACAGAAGCAGTTATACCTGTTTATTTTTCTGAAACGCTGACAGAAACAATCTATTTGTTGTAGAAATAAAAAAAAAAATAATAATTTAAAAAAGACCAACCAAATGATCTTGCACATATGATGTTAAGGAGTTTTCACTCCTTAATCTACTCCATGCTCCTCCGTAATGTTTTTATTTTTCAGTAGTTACTCTTTATTTGGGAAGGTGCTGTGATTAAAAAGAATGTTTGACTCATGTCCAGACACAAAAAAGTTAATAAAATTCCTCTCACAGCAGCAGAAAAATTCTTTTTTAACTTGTCTTGAACAATAAAAATACAAATGTCATATCCCGTACACGAACATCTAAATGCTGACTTTCTATTATTTAGATAGCAGGAACAGAGTGCATTAAATACGAGGCTTTTTATTATGGAGAGATTAAATGCAAATCAAGCATGAGCAGTTATTGTTCACAGAATTTTATGCATCAAGAAATGCAAGAATTAAAGCATAGCAGCAGCATTAACTTGCCTAAGCCACACTATACAGTAATGTGCATTCCAGTATATTACACAATCTTAAATTTTACAGTGTAAACACAATTATGTAGGGCTGTATTTATGTATACACGTAGAAGTGAAAAGGATACTTGCTCAAGAGAAATCTACAGTGAATAGTTTTAATAGTTCTTGTGTGTATTTCTTACGTGGATGGGACCAAATTAATGTTTCTGCTACAAGCAAAAGAGCTTTTTAGGTTTTCTGGCTCCTTTTTTGCCAGTATTGTACAGTTTTCAGTAAATCATGGCTGTCTGGTAAGCATAATGACAGTGCACTTCAAGAATTTAATTGTGCTGTAACATCACTATCCTATATCTCACAAATTATTATTTTCAGTACATGAACAGTATGTCAAATCTGCCAGTAAAAAATACAAAAATACCAATGCATTCCAGCTGTGGCCACCTCAGCAAGTATTTACAGTGTTTCAGTGCTGTGCAACTCAAATAAATGTATTTCATACATAGAAAGCTTGATTACAAATGTATCATAGTGTTTTGTTCATCTTTGCCTCCTTTGTTATTTCAAGATGTTTCATGGAACTTCCTTTACACCATGATGACCTGAACAGCAAGTGGATAAATGTGCTAATGTTTTGCTATCCCCATAAAAAGCATAAACAGAAATTTATCCTAAACAGGTAGAAGCTTTATTTGATTTAAAAGTTTATCAGAATTCAGGGGAAAGACAAACAGAAAAGGAGTAGTTTTACTGTTTGATAAACCTTTTATACATCTTTTGACATTGTAACTGAAATCAGGAGGTACTACCATATTTGCTTTTTTTACTTCTCTGTCTTTGGTTTTGGGGTTTTTTTTCTGTTTTCCTTAGTAATCCTTCTGGTTTGTGAAATTCAAAATATCTGATTAGTAAATTTCAGTAACTTGGTTTCTGGTTTTGCTATCTTATTAGTGTTATAAAAAAATGTCAAAAGTAAAGCTCACAACATGTCTGTAATTCATGATGTTTTAAAAAAATAGTGATATATTGAATTCTGATAGTATACTATAACAAATTCACTTTGATTATTCTGCTGAGGAAGTCAGTGGCGATACACTGAAAAAAAAGTGTACCATGGAGCCAAAGAATTAATTATCTGTCTTGTAAAGGCTTTTTCTCTTTGTATTTACAACAGTTGGAACAGTGGAATAAGTGTGACATTCTGCTTTTGGTCAGCTACCAAATGTCTGTTTGAATTCTCAGACTGATTAGGCAGAGACATGTTTACCAATACATTCTTCTGAGAGCATCTTTAGCCTAATTTGATTTACTGGTCTTTGTAAAAAATATCCTTAGCCTGCAAATTTTGTCTTCTACTTTTATTCAGTTTAAATAGTATCACCTGTGATTTTATGCCTGACTTTTTCCTAATATGTGGATTGGGAGGATGTATTTTTTCCTTTTTAGCTGGAGTGTTGAGGTTTATACACTGAGTCTACGCCACATTTTCATTACAAAGGAAGTAAAGTGTCGCAGACATTTTTCACAGAAATCCTTTCTTTCAGATTTCTGCGTCTTCTGGGAGGCAGAAGCCCCAGAAGAGAATGTAAACAATGATTATCAGCTGCTGTAAATGCAATAAAATGCACCTGTGATTGGTTCGTGTTTCATGTGTACCATTAAGAGCCAATCCCAGGGCAAGCCCTCTAGAACACAAAGACAGAGAATTCTCTTGTTTTTAGATTCTTTCTATTCTTAACTTAGCAAGCATCTGCAACTTCTCTCTATATTCTATTTAGTATAGTTATAATGTATTATATATCATATATCAATAAATCCAACCTTCTGATCAAGAAACAGGATTCTCATCCTTCTCTCTCACCCCAGCGACCTCCTCAAGTCGCTGTAATAGTAAAGAGAGTGTTTAAAATTACTTAGCTACTATTCAAAGAGTTACACAACTTTTCTACCTATGTAAAGAGCTGGTTAAAGTTGAATTATTTAGCTGCACTTACACACGGGTGTGGGTTGTGTCTGTGCTCAGGAATTATCCCAGCATTGATTAGTGCAGTAATGAGTTATTAGCTCATGTTATATTTGAAGATCAGTGGGGGCACGCCTGCTGCTGGCATTGCTTGACAGTGACTGTTGTCTAGACAGAGAGAAAAGCTTAGGACTGCTCCAGTTTCTGCTCTGTGTGGATTCTGAGCTCACCACCCCCATAGAATCAGAAGTGTCTGGTCGGCTGGAGTTTTTTCCATCAGCATTGTAAGGAATCTGGGCTTTGTTTGCACTGAAACTGCTTTGTCTTCTGTCACTGCTCTTTGGAAGAGAATTTGTTGGTGCTCCTGTGCTCTCAACCACTGCCTGTCGTCCACAACTGGTACCAGGAAAAGTTGTACCAGGCTGCACTGAAGTTTGAGATGGCATCTCAGCAAAGCTTCTCAAGTACATGTTTGCAGCAGTGTCTGCAATCTGAGTATCAACAAGAAAATGTTTCTTTTCAGTCTTTTCTTGTGCATTGTGTGTCTCAGTCCAAAGCTCACCAAGAAAGCCTTCGTTATTATTTGTGCTAGCATTTTGAGTCTGATTGTCCAAAGCATTTGTAGCTGGCCTCTTCTTTGGAGATTTCTTTTCCTGATTGCAGTGGGTGTAATTGCTGCTGCTTTCTGCACGGTTATTTGGCACAGACTGAAACACAGAAGGAGAATTTAAAACTGGGTAGAGCATAGTGTCAGTTTGCTTTTCCATCAGAAAGGTATAATTGCTAAGGGCACAAGGCAGTGTTTTCTGAGGGGTGGTGGATATTCCCAAAGAAGAGTGTGGTATCACAGAGTATTTCTTAGATTTGTTTATGTAGAAACTCTCAGAGTCATCTTTGGTTCTGTTCTGCTCACAGAGTCCCATTTTAATTTTTCGGAATCCTAAGTGGATAATTTCTAGGATATTTAAAAGCAATGATACAGTTGCTATTGATTGCATAAATAAAATAAACACTGTCTTTTCTGTTGGTCTAGATACAAAGCAGTCAACTGTGTTTGGACATGGGTCTCTCTGACATTTATAAAGGGGATCTAAGTGAAAACCATAAAGAAGATACTGCCCAATCATAAAGCCAACTTCCACTGCAGATCTTGTGAAAATATGTATCACATAAGTGCAGAGCAGAGAGCCTCTCAGGGGTGCTTTGTTCAGCTTCCTTTGATCCAGCTGCCGGAGCTCTCTCTCCAGTCTTTTACGATTTTCAGTCATTTCTAATTCAGTGCTTTCAAGTTCCACCCTTACCTGAGCTTTCTTCTTTTGCCTTTCTTTTTCCAGGGCTCTTAGTCTGTATAAGGCATGCCCCATATACACCAAGGAAGGGGAAGACACAAAAATAACTTGCAAGACCCAGTATCTTATGAGGGAGATGGGAAAGGCCTCATCATAGCACACATTTCTGCAACCAGGCTGCTCAGTGTTGCATATAAATTCTGATTGTTCATCATTCCAAACATCCTCAGTTGCCACTCCAAGGACAAGCATTCGAAATATGAAGAGGATTGTGAGCCAAATCTTTCCAATAATTGTGGAATGAATGTGGACCTCCTCTAAAATGCCTCCAAGGAAATTCCAGTCTCCCATGGTTATTCTGCCATATTAACACTAAAATGCATGAGAGAAACAAGTATCAAAGATTGTAAAAGTTGCATTCTTTCTTTAACATATTATGAAAAACACAACACTGGGAAAACTATCATATCTCACATTGTAACCATGACCAACTGCTCATTGATAATTGGGTATTATTTTCTTTCACCTATGAGAAGGAGAACTGCATCATCTGCCTGTGCCTGCTTTATTATTATTATTTATTATTAACATCCTGATAAGACATCACTACAAGATATTAAACACCCTCAGTCTGCATCAGATCAGTGGAAACCTGAGTGTCTGACTTGTAGCAGGATTTAAAGAGCATTTTGTGATGCATTTGAACATCATCCAGTAACAATGTGAGAGCAGTACATTTCTATTTAGGTCACTTATCAAGGTACAGGAATATTTGCTTGTCCTCATTTTTGGATGTTCCAAGCCCCATGTCACAGCTGTAATTACGGCAGTCCAATTACTGTTTCACAGAGAAAATTGGTTATATAAAGGAGCTCAAGAGGGAGTCAATCATCTCATGGAAATGTCAATATTAATTAAAATGACATGTTAAAGCATATCATTTTGTGCAGACATTTGCTTTTTGTTTATGGATGTCAACAATAAATAAATAGAATTGCTGTAATTGGTTCACTTCCTCTGATCAATGATACCTGCATTTGAAATAGTGAATAGAGTGCCTAAGTGGCAAGCATTACTATTTTTGGCCACAACTCTTTGAAAAATAAATTATTGACACAAAAATTCTTTACCAGCATCTTCCTAAATAGCTGTCATCTGAACACAGCTAAACTGGTAACATATGTGTGTAATTGTACATCTCACCTTTCTTTCATATGTTTGTTTCTCCATTAACAGGATACTACATTGTGGTCAAAATTTTAAATTCCTTTTCAATATTTATGTTATTCTATGCATATACAATTGTAACACAATTTTTTTATGAGTGGGGACAAGCAAAACACTTGTAGCTAAACACTTTTTCATTGTATGTACAGCACAATTCAATAGAATAGTATCTTACTTTGGTATTTTTAGGACAAAGGTGCTCTAGCATAGCATTTTCTCTTCAGATGGGGTTAATCTTCACCCTGTAAAACAGGAGTGCTAACAGGTCAACAGAAACTGGAATGTTATGGTTGCATATTGATGTCCATAGAGGAATATTTATTTTAAGCCTTCTAAACATGAACATACTTTTGCAAATCAGTATATGAATAGGCAATTTAAGCATTTTTTAAAGAGAAACAAATTAAAAATAAATGGTAAATTAAAAATAAAACATACCTTTCTTTACAAAAATATGTCAAACTAAACATCTGTGACGTCCAATATACAGCCCCTGCCATCTTCCATCTATGTGAGTGAATTGACACATTTAAGCAGTTTATTTTGCTACAGTAGCAAATAGAGTGTGAGCTTTGCACATGGAATTTTTATTTGCTGGGGCTGAAGGGAGGAGAAAATCGATCTCTTGTTCAATCTGCTACTGCTCCAAGCATAATTTAACTATGAACAGTAAAAGATTCTCATTTTTAAAAAGCTAGAAATAAAAATTATGCACCTTTAAGTTCTTTGAGATTATCTTCCCTTTTGCCTCAATAGCACCTTTTAAGTTTTAGGAACAGTCTCAGCCTCATATAAATAAAACAGAATAAAACAGAGCTTTCAGACTATGTTTCAGTTTATATATCTCACTAGCAGCAGCAATTCAGCTTGCCTGTGCAGAAGAAGGTAAATCTTCCCAAACACTCTCATTGTAAATTCCTGCAGTCTGTTCTCCTGCCACAGCTTAGCACCACAATCCTGATGTAAAAAAAATCAGTGGATGTACTTTTGGTTACTCCAAACTCACTCCCTGCTCACAGACAGCATCTGTATTCTGTATATGTATGTATCTATATTCTGTGATTCTGCACTTCTCTTCCATTCTCCTGAGACCACATTACTGGTCACGCTGATGAGTTTAAAAAACTCCTGAATTTGACAATGGTTTTTACTCTATTTTCCCCCTCCATATAATTGAGTATTTCTTTTTGGGAGCAAATCATTATAATTCCTGTCTTAAATGTCAGACATACCAAAGATGTCATTCTTCTTGAGAGTGATACTTACATCTAGCCTATAAAAACTGACTCAGTGACACAAGTTCCATTTTTAATTCAGACCTTAAGCTAAACATCTGCATTACCTCAGCAGGGAAAACAGGGAGAACAGGCTGAAATGTTTTCTGTTATAACAGAGTGCACAAACTTTCTGGTCTCAAAGAACATTTTGGGTACAGATGGTAAGCTGAGGAAACCTTTTCAAACACTCTAAACATTAAGAAATGTTGGGCAGAGGGAGGAGAAAGGGAAAAAGGAAATTTTACAAAAGGGAAAAAGGAAATAAATATGTCTATTTTGTGGACAAAAATGTTTTCTGGAGCCAGCATTAGCATTAGCAGGGCACAGCCTCATTAGGCATGCCTGGTATTAATTGCAAGTCCATTGCTAGGACCAATATGAGTTAAGATGCATATCTAGCACTGTAATGTTCTTTTAGGTGATGCTCATCAGCACTCTGCAAAAGTGTAGTTCTGATTCAAATGTCCTGTAAAATATGAACAAACTTCCCCTGCTGAGAACTCTAAAAAGCTAATCATTATCTTTTAATTTGGTGCTGAAGAGCAGTCAATAGGTCATGTCCAATTTCACACTTGACAGCTTGCCTGAAAGTACTCAGTCATTGTGGCAAGCCGGCAGTCTGCAGGCAGCCATCTCTGTGAAGTACTTAAAGCAGGATTCCAAACATGTGTCTTCTCTTGGGTACTTAAAGTAGTCTCTAAATATTTATCTGTTATTAATAAAACCCTCTAACTCTGCTGAAGTGGTCCACAGACACACACACACCCTGCCAGTTCATGCAGAGATGCTGAAGATTTGTTTGAAAACCTGAAGTGTTTGGTGAGACTGAGCTGCCATGGTTGGAGATTTACTTGCTCTGTAAAACCTAAATATTTTAAAAAACCATGTAACAATCCACAGTGTTCCAGGATGCATTATCTCTTAAAATGGTACTACAGTTAAATGACAACTTGACAACTCACAAGGGAAAATAAATTCAAGTGCCAACAATAATTTTATAGTGTTGATGCTGCTGTTTACCTTAGTTAGACAGCTTGCAACTCAAACTGTTTATAACAACATTCAGAATTTAGTAATTTAGTGTTGTATGGAGAGGCTATTAATTTTTCTTCCAGGTTTGAAGCTACCTCACTGGCTTTTTATTCACTGCAAAACATTCTCTACATTTTTATGACTATATTGATTTTTCTTAGCTTAGGGTCAAACGTCACAGTAATCCTCCAATCATGGAAATAGTCTCTGAAGATCAAGGCCTTTTTATTTCTATACATCAATAATGTGCACTTTATGTGCACAATTGATTTTATTTTCTACTGTAATCTGTCTGACCCACAATGGACAGCTAGATGAGGCACAAACGTCAGTGATGTGTCCTGCACGTTTTCAGGCTAACATGAACTCACTGCCATGGTTTTCTTTCAGTAGTGAAGGGGGACCACAAATTATAAACTGCAACAATGAGAAATTTGGACAACTGAACTACTCAGTGTTGTCTTTAGGATCACCAAATTCAGCAGTAGTGTTTGAAGGCAGACCAGAGATCACCACATGAAGACTGAAGCACATACTCTCCAAATCAGTGTATATTCTGTGCTGCCTTATAGGTTCACTTTTCATTGCTAAGATACACATGCAAATCAGTAGGTATGTTATAGATTCACTCTTTATTGCTAAGATACACATGCAAATCAGTAGGCGCACATTTATATTTTCACTTTCACAAGCAAAATTTCTGAAGGTGCCCTGGCCTATATCTGAAAGTGTAAGGGTTTTTTTCACAGTTTCTGTCTTTATCTTAGTTCACTGTTGATAGTTTTTAATTCATTCCTCTCTTAGTTCCTTAACTTTAAAAATTTGTAATTTCTGTATACTTTAATATAGCTAGCTGTCTATTTTCCTCTCTTAATCCATTGTCTGTAAAATTTTATTTATACATGTACACTGGTACTGTAGATTTCTGTGCCTGCTTTTAGTTCTCTCCTGACTTTGCATTTTCAAGTTTCCATGTGTACTTTATCAGGCTTCCTCTCTCTATTTTTTTTCTTCTTTCCTGCCTGTTCTGTATCCATCTGCTGGGCTCAGGGTCAGTGTCAGAGGAAGGGAGATGGGATTACCTGGGAGCTGCAGCATCAAGGTTGTACTCAGGAGGTACAAGGGAGCCAAGATTTAACACAGGCTGCAGGAAGGGATGGGCTGGGGCAGCAAATGTGCAGCCACTGAGGCTGGGGTACATAAACCACAGCCTCTGGTCAGGGTGCTTTGCTGTTCCTCCTGCTGTTTCAGCTCTTTGGGCAGCAGTGTTGTGGCATTTAGAGAATGGAGCTGTCTGAGTAAGGCTTCAGGACCAGTGAAGCTTCAGCAGGCTGTGCAGTAGAAAGTACACTTGTGACACCCAGCCCCGAGTCAGGATCCTGGAGGGAACCCCCATAATGTGTGACATCCCCCAGAATAAATCCACCAGCCTTGGTGGCCTCAGGGGTCTTCATGGTCTCAGTGGGTCTCATGGTTTCCTTCCCATGTGTCAGAGACTCCCATCAAAATCGAGCTGAGCCCCCCCATCCTAAATGCCACCCCCAAATGGGCCAGAAACCTCCCTCAAATGGGGCAGAGATGTCCTCAAATGGTTAAGAAACACCCCACATCCCCCAAGTGGGGGGTATGGAGGGGAGATGTGACTCCTGCAAATTGTGGGTGAGGGGACAGCCCTGTCTCACCCCAATAAAGGCACCAGCCCTGGTGTCTCCACAGTCTTCATGGTCTTCGTGGGTCTTGTGATCTTCTGGGGTTGGGGAGACAGAGCCCCCTCCCAGAATGGTGAAGAAAGTACCCCAAACCCACACAAAATGA